CCTGGGCGGAATCGAATCTGCTCCCGAGGTGTGTTTTATTATTGAAGATTATAGAGATCATTGTAAAAAAAAAAAGTCTCCCCTCACCCTCATATACTTCTAAAAATAAAATAAACTAGTGTAGTTGGTTCCTGTAACAATAGCTCTGCTGGGAGAGGAGGAAAATAACAATTCACAAAGCCTGACGGAGTGATTTTACTTCCATATGTTGATACCTTTACCTATAGGGAGGGGGACATTAATTTCTTAATTCATTGCGTCTTCACTTGGGGGGGTGCTTGGTTTTTGTTTATTTGACTTGCAGAAATCGGTCTCCAAAAGCAGTCTTTCGACATGCAATCCCATAAGCCCCTGCTCTCCACCCCCCCCCCCCCCACTGTGCTGTTTGTGAATCCCCTTGTTAGTATAATATCTGTATTGAAGTGTAAGAGTTTTTGAAGTAAGAGCTAGGAAAATTGCTGTTCTGGGCTGCTGGCATCTAAATGTGCAGATAACTTGGGTTTTTGTTGTTCAGAAGCTCTGTTGCCAAAAGGGTGGGGGGAGGAAATTACTGTAGTTGTCTATCTCTTTTTAAAAATGCCCTTTCTGAATTGACCTTGAAACCTTTAAAATCTACAGCATTTCTAATAGGGAAGGTGTTACTTGAGCAGGAGGAATCTAGTACAGAGTGAAAAGCAAAAATAGGAACTTAAGCCTGTAGACAAAGTGATTTTTTTTTTTTACAGAAGAATGTGAAAAGGGAAGTTTCTATAATGTGAAGGAGCAGAAGGAAATAACGCACTTTCGAAAACGTGAAGGGGGGTGGGAAGACTCATATCATTCTTCACAGTATAAGGCCTTGAAAAGCTGACTTGATACAATCAGAGAGGCTAAGAAATAAAAGCCCTTTCTACCAACTGAATATCAAGCATTAACTTGCTGACCAGTGTTTACATTCTGTTGGCAGGTGAGCGCTTGATTTTTGCGTCTGCAAAGGTACCTTGAGCATCCTGCTCGCAACAAGAGCTTGAAAATATTTTTGCCTAAATTCTGTTACATTTCCAGGGGTCTTCTGTAGCTTGGATGTTTCAAACAAGAGAGGATTGCTAATAATTAGATGTTCTCTTGGGCTCAGAAGAAATGGCTCAGATAAGTAGGTTAAACTGCTTTCTTTGAAGGTGGGGGAGGGAAAGTGGGTGGAGTTTGATTCCCCCTTCTGTTTTTATGTGAATCGATGAGTCAGTATGTAAGATCTGCAATTGAAGTGCCAGCTTGTAATGGGTCATCAGTAACTTGCTCTTAATATGAACTTCATTCAACTCCAGATAATTCAATATGTCTCATATTAATTACCAATGATACTTATCTCCTTGTGAATTGGAAGTGAGAATTCTCGTGGTTTTCTTGAAATGATTGGATTCCTGAAGCTTTATTTCAAGTTATGTTAATGCATTACAGAAGCTGCTGTTAAGAAACTATTGCTTGAGCTGACTATTTAGTGTCTTCTGCAAAATCCCAGAGTTGTTTTCAGTTTCATTGTCTGTACATGCATGTATTTATACAAGGGTGTGTGTGTGTGTGTGTTTTGGTGGGAGATGGAAAAGGAAAATACTGTTGTTGCCTTGTATAGAATAATTAATGTCTCCATATTGCTATTTAAGAACAGTTTTTTTTTTTTTTGTATGAGGTTGATTCAATTATGTCTTCATCGCTTTGGAACTGGTTGAATGACTTGACATGAGATTAGGAGCAACAAAAGAGAAGGCCGAGCGAACAACAGCTGCCTTCCAGTTCTGAGGCACTATTGCGCTTAGCAGGAAGGCATTTTATCTTTTAGTGTTGTGTTGTCAGGTTTAAATGTTAAATATTTATATTCCTGTGAAAGGTTGTTAGACTACACTTATGTTAAAAAAAGGCAAAACAAAACACTCTTGTATTTAGAGCCTTTTAAAAATTAGATGGCATGCATTTCATCCTTTTTTTTAAAAAAAAAAAACCCTCATGTTCAAATATCAAATGTTCCTAACTTTTAAGTTTGCTGCTATTTTAGCTGAAAAGAGCCACCACTAGTTTGTACTTGCTTGGCAGCTGTATGGTAGGAACTTTTTAAGGTGTGGCTTTAATGGCAGCTGACGATTTCTTGCTGAGAAACAAATCTTATTTTGGGTACGTGTCTCTTTGGAAATTCTCTTGAAGCTAAATAGTAATATAGAATAGCCCCTTTGAAGAAAGAATTAATGTTAATGTGAGTTTTTTTAGGGGGGGAAATTCATATGTGTCATTTTAAAGTAACTAAAGACAATTGCATATGCCCACCCCACCCCCAAAAATTCTGTCTATAGTATGCATACTATAATGTATGAGTGCCCTTCCTTCAAAGGTTTGGTGTAAACAACTTTCTCATAACCCATAAATGCTGGAGATTGTAATTATTTGTGGATGTATGCATGTCTTTTAAACACAGTTAATTCTTTATGTTAATCCATTTTATAGTGGATAAAGAGTTATGGGGGGGTTGTTTTAATTAAATATTGTTATTTGCAAAGTTGTTATCCCCTCTAAAAGGTGACACTTCAAAGAAAGGCTAATATTCATGGGGATTTTAAGGAGATGGATACTAGCTTCTTTAATGGAAATTGCATTAGATTCCAGATGGAGAGCTATGGATGGCTTGGAATATCTCCTTTGTTTTGGTGACGAATGGAAAGGCATGGGGGTGGGGATATATGGCTAGAAAAGGAGGTATACCTCATTACTCTCTTACACTGGTTTGTTTCATCTTGGGCTTCTTTATCAAACTTTCCCAAACAATTATGTGCATTACTTAAGGCTGTTACATCTTTCATCCATCTGTAGAATGGCATTGTTTCAGGATTAATTTCTTTCTTACAAGAATAAGATCAAAGTGAAAAGCATACTTCTTTATCCTAATGTTACTTGGAAGTAAGTGCTTTGACTTTTAGTGTGGCATACTCTCAAATAGTATGTTCAGGAACAGTGAAAATTCAAGTTATTAGCTAATTGCCCAGAGGAAGAAAAAAAAAGTAAGAAAGAGAATTGCAGACCTTATTTGGCTTTCAGTATGTTAATAACTATGTAAAACGGAGTCTATGTCAGTAAGCATTATTGGCTGAGAAAGTAGTAACGTGACTTCATTTAAAAAAAAAAAATCTGGAAGCAGAAAAGAACCTGCTTTTATGTAAGTACAGTATAGAGGAATATGCCTGCCACAAAATCAAAACCCTATTGCTAATTCTCGAAGGAGGAATGGCTTCTCCCTCCCTCCCTTTTCAACCTATAGTTGAAAATGACTAAGCTTTACTATCTTTAGGCAAGTTTGAAAAAGAAGCTTGACCTTTGAATTTACTTGCTTCCACAGAGATTCAGGAAGATTAAATAACTGAGGCTGTTGGATGACCAGTTATTTATCTCATGTCATCCTTTGCAGTTTGAGCTTTTATTTAAATGTAGAAAATAGCACAATTTTTCCCACAGCAGGGCTGTTATTATGGGCTTCAGGCCTTCCTTTATTCTCCTTTGCCTGATTAGAACATCAGGAGTCCAATACAGTTGGTTCTTCCTGTCTTCTACTTCACATAATTACATTTGCTACGCCTTTGGCATAAAAGATAATTATTCATAATGAATACTTTTTAGCATTTTTAATGACACTTGAATCTTGTGCAATCCTCCAGCAATTGAGAATCAGGAGTAAAATAATGTTTTTTGTTGGGGGGGGGAGGAAAAGGGTGGATGATATTTTTAGGGGTTTGTAAGTGCTGATATGAATTGGGAAAGAAAAGCATGTTGTTTTATTTTTGTTATTGTATGCTTATAGAAGTTTTGGACTTTTAAAAATGGGAAGAGCAGTCTGTACAGCTGTTGTGTGTCAAAGTGGTTTAACAATTGTAAATTGAGGGTTTTTTTGCTCAAAGTTAGTGAGCTAGCAACACTTCTATTTTTATCCTCTTTCTAATATAAGGCCACATGTGGTCGTTCTCCAAGTTAGTATTACAGTTGATAAGCAGTTGGCAGAATTCTTGCTTTATGCTTTGTTTTCAATAAAGTTAAAGAATCTCATTTTGTCCAAAGATTAAAAGAATTCCAAGAATAGAAACTTTTAGTTGTTCAACTGGGGAAGCATTCACATCAACCATATTGTTAGTTTTAACTTAGCATCATCAGATGAAATGAAACCAGGAGGATAGTTGACACTCTTGTTTGTGTTGAGGTAGAGTGTAAGTGGGGACTGTTTTCACTGTGGACTTAATTACATGTGCTTGTAATGTTATTCCACTCCTCGGGAAACAATTGCAGCATATTAGATAGATAAATCAACTCCTCCTCCTTAGCCCAAAGAATTTTATAGTCCATTGGGCTTGTCAGAACAACTTTGTGTTGTCAACATTCAAAGTAAGAAACTAGATTTAGAAATAATATAATTTGTAATCAAGACCCGTTAGTGCAGCGCACACATATTCCCGCTGAATATGCTGAGAATTCGGAATACTTGTCCAACTTTTATTATTTTATTTATTTATTAGATGTATGTCCTATCT